ATATATATACTGTATGTCATTCTAAAAAATATTAGCATATTGTGATAAAGTTCATTATTTTCTGTAATGTACTGATAAGCATTAAACTTTCATATATCTTAGATTCATTGCACACCAACTGAAGTAGTTCAAGCCTTTTCTTGTTTTAATATTGTTGATTTTTGACAAAAAAGTAAAGAAAAATAAAAAATCCCTTTCTCAAAAAAATTAGCATATTTCATCCGGCCAATAAAAGAAAAGTGTTTTTAATACAAAACRGTCAACCTTCAAATAATTATGTTCAGTTATGCACTCAATACTTGGTCGGGAATCCTTTTTCCAGAAATGACTGCTTCAATGTGGCGTGGCATGGAGGCAATCAGCCTGTGGCACTGCTGGTCTTGAGGCCAGGTCATGCCGAAAAATGAAATCTTCATCTCCATAAAGCTTTTCAGCTATGGAAGCATGAAGTGCTCCAAAATCWCCTGATAGCTAGCTGCATTGACCCTGCCCTTGATAAAACACAGTGGACCAACACCAGCAACTTACTTACTGGTACTTGCAGCTTACACTTTACTGGTGCAATGTGCAATTAATGAAGATTGGCCACCAGACTGGTCAAATTTAGCCATGAAACCTCCCACACTAAAATGACAGGTGTTTCAGTTTTATTGTCTAACCCCTGTAGTTCACTCCTTATAGTGTCCATCACACATTTGAAAGCAAATTAATAACACCACTGGTAAGCTAAAAAATAATAAATACATTGCATATTAGCTTCAAAGAGTCACTGCAAATGGGCCCCTGAGCCACAGGTTGCTTACCTCTGATTTAGACCATCTGTCTCTGCCTATAGAAAATATTTTAAAYCAGCAGACCTTTTTTCATTTAAAACCAGTTCTCAGGTGGTCATTTATTAGCTTAATCATGATACTTAATTCCAGTTAATCACACTCTTGTTAATAAATTTCCCATTTAAATACCCCACCCCCTGAATAATTAATGTTTTTTTTTTACTTTCCTTAGTATTGAATGATTCTGCTGTTTGTGTGGGCCGGCCGAACTTACACTGGTAAATATTTGATCTGATTAAGCGATTTACTTGGTAATGCATGGCTGTAAAGTACACTTTACTATAAAGACCAACAAGTATTGACAGTGTCTGAAGTAAAAAATAAAATAAAATAAAAAAGGGAACTAACCTGTGTCCTGGTCACAAATCTGTTCGCAGGGCTCAGTGGTCCTCTGGCCACAGTGATCTCGCACCCATTGTGCTGATGAATTGCTCTGATAGTAGAGAGTTAGCTTGGCTGGATTTAACCAATTTGATACATCCAGGAAGCTGCCCATGCTCACCACAAAGCTACTTCCTGAAAGATAAATAAAGAAAAAAAAAAGGAATGCGTTACAAAAAAAAAAGAAGAAAAAAAATCATACTGAAAATTAGATTGTGTAACATTTTACAAAAAGYTCCTTCCCAAGTTCTACTGGCAAATCAATTGGGGAAGTAACTAATTCCTTTGTTTTCACTGTAATTTTATTTCCCATCCTGACCAGGCTGAATTTAAATGAGAAAATTAAGACCCATAATGTGTGTATTGATGGGATTTCCTTGGTAATTGCACTAGATGGGATAAAAGGTTTCACAAGTCAATCAGTAAATGCTATTCTGCAAGACGCTGACTTACCTTTCTTTCTTACTGCTTTCAGAGCAATCTTTAAACTCTGATCACTGAACAAGACTAGGCTTAATTGATGCCAATGAGTTTCAATTCCAGAGGGAGCAGTGAGGAGATTGTACTTTAAACCTCTAGTTAAAACAGGCTTTTGTTACAGCTGTGTTGCGAGTATATGGAGCCAATGAAATATATATATATATAAGCAAACAAAAACAAAAAAATCATTGGAGTGAATAATAGCTGAAAAATAAAAATTGCAAGGAGACTATGATCTTGGCAATGTGGATGAATGAGGACATCTTTTTGTCACATTTTACTCTCCACAAAAAAAAAAAAAAAAAAAAAAAAAACGAACAAAAAAAACATGGCAACAACTCTTCACAGTTGCAGTTGCCTCCTCCAGAAGAACAATGTGCTTTGCCACTCTTCAGAAGTAGCTGAGGAACAGATTGCCAAACACAATAATGAGCCAAAATCATTGATTCAGAACCCAATTTCCCTGATTTGATTTTGATGAAGCATTTGTGAGATGAATTGAACAAAAATCCCAGTCGTCTCCCTCTCTGCAACCCAAAGAACTAAAAGGGGCAGCTGCTAGTGTCCTCTGTGTCAGGCACCAGAGGACAACCTAAAAATATACAGGTAACAAAGTACTGTTTTGACTGTTTTAAAATGATTTATCAAGTCAAGACGACAATAGGGTGAGCACAATGAGGCCAGTTTCTGCAACAAGGCAGTTTAGAAAACAGGTCTGCTGAGAGAAAGAATAGATTTATTAACTTCAGTTCAGACAGTGAGGAGGCAGTGGTTAAATTCTGGCCTCTTTTTTACCTGGGACCTGTAAAGCAACTTTAGCACTAAAGGTGCATCATTCATTTTGCTTTAAATATTTGCAACTGAGTTAAGAAAAATAGAAGTGTCTGTAGTTYTCTGAGAAACAAGAATAGCCATGCAAATCTGTGTCCAAACTATGTAAAAAATGTAAATTATATTATCACATGCAACATTAGGCTTAAGGAACATAGCTTGAATCAATTACATTTATTTATCTGTCATGGTTTTATGAAAAATAATCTACACATTATATGAAATTCTTTCTAGAAGATGCCCATTARCCCATGCCATTTCAGAACGTTTACAATATATTCATGTTATCGCATGTATTTAAAAAAATTATGTAACGAACTCTCTAAATTTTATGTTTTCCTCTTCATGACATGTAAATGTTTGTATTTGATTTAATTTGATTTTTTTACTAAATAACAAAAAGCAATTGTGTTGCATATGGTTTTCAGTTTACCATCACCTGACATGTTTGTTAGTTATTCCTGTACAGTTTCCTGCTCGTAGTGATGMCTGACCTCATAACCTGTCTGTACAGCTGCCTCCTATCATTGTTTCGAAACAATTTAAAATGCAGATTATGCAATTTTTGTGAGTCAGATCATGTGTTTTCCCTTAGAAGTATAGTATTCTCCCCGTTTGACTGCACCTTCCTATCTTATGTTTATACATGGCCTGCCAGCTTTGATTTGTTTTGTTTACCTGTTGCATTTGTGTGTTTGCTCTGACTATGTGCACACTGTATGCCTGCCGACTGCTGGGTTAGGTTGCCTTTAATCACGTTTGCAAAGCATCCACTGTCTGTTTTTTTTATTTTTTTTTATTTTTACATCCTGGATATTGTGCAYACAACAGTTAGTTTTACAGCCTGAAAATGAAACCTACACCCCAAATTCCTGATTGTAATGGAATCAGTGTTGGGTCAAAGGTAGAGAAGCATCAAATCTTTTCAGACAATTCTTAGAGCTCATGCTTTATGAACTTACATATATACTGTAAATAGGTTGATTACATTAGGTTTACTGTATATGTGGTTCCATTTTCATTCTGTGTCAAAGAGCACTCAAACTGTGAATGTAGTACAAATGTGGCACTGAAGATCACCTGATCAGCTAATAAGTGAATGCATGACTCTCAGAGACATGGCAATCATTAGATAAACAGCCTCAGCTCTTCACTTCCTCTTGCTTCATTTACTTCCTTGCACATATTCTGTTTTTGGCCTCTGCTCTCCCTTAGGGTTTTGGTGTGGAACCTTGCCAACAAGAGACCCAATTTAAATTCACCTCACAGCCATCAAGTAATCTAAACCAGTTTGGCAGGTTTAGATAACAGGCCTCCATCCTTACATAGATGCTTATGTGTGCACCATTGCTTCTTTACCGTACTTGATTCTTCTGAATTTACATTAATAGAAATATTACACCTCATACATGGTATCATGTTGGTTAAAACAATATATTTATCATTATAGATTTAAATAAGATTTAGTCTTGAACACAAAGCTGGCTTAATTTACATGAATAACATTTAGTTGAGTATTTATCATGAGTAGCAGTCGCACATTTTGTAGCAATTAAGATAGTAGGTCAAAGTTTAACTAAAAAACATATTGCTGGCACTTTTCTCCTCAACAACTAAATGATTGCAAATATATATTTTAACGTTACTATTTTTGTTTGTTTCTTTGCTTTTTATTTTAGAGCGCAATAGTTCCTGTTGCTGCATTTAAATCTATTGTTCTTACTTACTTGAAACTCAAYGCAATCAACTTGAAATTCTGAGGAATTCTAAGTTTGCCTTGGTTTATAAACTGTTTCTACCACAACTAATGTTCCAAATTTAAAAAAAAAACAACCTAAGGTAGGTTGGTGGTCATTGTTGCAATCTTGTAATTCGGAGGCTGCAGGTTGAAGTGAGGGTTGCATCAGGAAGGGCATCCAGTGTGCAAGTTTGCTTAATGTAGAAACCCCTATAGAAGGGGTCTACCACTGTGTACCTACAGGCTGGAGAAAGGGCAAGAATGTGCAATCATTGTTAGTGCCTCTTAATGTAACCTAAAAAACAAATGTTTTATTAATAAACACACACAATAAATACAAATATAAATGATACAATAAAATTAAATAAAATCTTGTGATATGGTCTGTACAAAATTTAATCAAAAGCATTATTATGCATACAGTGGACTTCTTGTCAAAACCCAATATTTTTATTTTACGTCATAATATTATGTAACCTTAACAAAAACCTGTCAGAAAAATACAACCATTCATATATTCGCATTTGGCGTGAACATGCATTATGCCTTTGCAGCATTACACTTTGTGCAGCACCACTTTTCTTTACTTAAAAAAAAAAAGAAAATGCTTCAAAAGCAACCATTAATTCCTGATATCAGGCAGCCCACTGAGCCAAAGCTGCACTGCAAAAATATAGGGCTTAGGAAGTAAAAAATCAACCCTTCTGGGATACTGGATATGTTGATCAGTCAGCCAGGCACTATTGTGTGTGTCGCACTTACCGTCTGCAACAAAATGCTCTGGCACATGGAGAGTAACCTTGACGGTAAGGGGACAGGAATCCTGCGTAGCGTAGACAATGGCAATGACACATGTGCTGATGGTAATCAGTGTTAGGGTGACCTTATTTAGAGGACTTTGTGAGTGGCCTAAAGATACAGTAAGAGAGGGAGGAAAACACAGAAAARAGAGGTTTAGCAGAAGAGCTTAACTAACATCTTTTTTTAATTGACATTCTTATCTGGTGGCAATGCATATAATAACTATAATTACAACTAACTATAATGACAGAAGGACACGCTTTTCTGCCCTGTCTGTTGTTAAAAGCAGAGATATTTTAACATTTGAACATAGCATTATTTGTACTTCTGTCTCATAATTCGGTTAGCATAAAATAGCATAGTATTTTCTTTTTTTTTAGAATAGCCCAGAATAATTTGAAAGTGGGACAAACTTTTTTTTATTGCCACTGAAAGGGTTTTGGATTAGTAGTTATGGTTGCACTTAAGCTCTGTCAGGGCTCATATTTTCCAAGCTAGGCTAAAGGGAAATTAAATAAGTTGCTTAACCTCTGTCTACTAATATTTATCATGAGACAGAACTTGGCAGATAAAATAGAGACATGCTGACAAATAAGAGGTGCAATAGATAGTTTTGGCTGAGAAATACTGCTATGATTTGAAAGTAGCTGATTAATTATTCTTTCTGTTGAGCCTCTGCAATATTGTTCTGTGCTAGTTCCACAAAACTATCACGATAGCCACCTAATAAAAACAAAAACAAATTGTACTTCAACAAAAACATAATATTAATAGTCAAAGATAAAATGTGTTAAATACTATAAAATGCATTATAATAGCAAATATTTGAACACAAATAATGTATTTAATCAATTTACATCATCAGTGACATCAGAGCCCACTGACACTTTGACAGAAGTTTGGAGGCAGTAAAATGCAGCTCAAGGTTAAAACTGGGGACACTAAGTTACGATGGTGAAGTCCAACCAGGCTGAACAACATAAAACATCAACTGTCTGCAGCAAAAAGTGGCAGTGCCATTAATCCCTGTGGGGTCGGCGTGGTGTCAGTGGGCTTTTGGAGGGGTCCCTTAATTACGGTAAAAGCTCACTGAGTGAAATAAAGAATGTATGCTCACGGTGGCGAACACTTACATTATGGGCACAAAGCAAACAAGTCTATGCTTTCAAACACTTACGTAAAACCCACATGGGGATGTAAAGCAGTCACAAATATATTATGTGCCTTAAAGGAAAAAAAAAAGATTTTCCTTCATGGCTTTTCTTTTCCATTCTGTTGTTGACTTGCTTCCCTCTGTTCAGCCTTTTTGACCATTACTAAGAATTTGACAGCTTAGCTACAAAGCRTTTTTTAAATGAAATATGCAATTAGATTTCAATTTAAATAGAACTTCATGACTGAGTTTTTAATTTATGTTTCAACAAATAATGATTAATCAACCATTTTCAATTATTTGTATTAGCAACAAATGTTTCAAAAAGTCGATGAAGAAAAAAAAAAAGATAATATTTTGTGTCAGTATATGCCATGATAAGAACTGAAGTGACTAACACAGCCAATAATTCCCATGTTCACACACCTTAGCTTAATTTGCTTGTCTTTCATGGTGTAAAGGATGCATTGAAAAGACAGGGATGTATGTTAAGCTTGTTTAAATTAAAAGTTACAAGCATTCAAATATGTTCAATGCTCCTGGCTACAAGTCTATCCAGTCATGGTGTTTAGATTCTCTGAGGTGCTGCGAATGTCAATGAGAATACAGGGTAGTTTTGATGAAGTCTTTTTGAGTAATTGTTTTAATGACTGACTGACTGATGGATAAAACATGGGCATTTAGAAAACAGAAACCAGTCAACTATAGGATAAAGGATCAGGTTTACCAGGGCTCCATTAGTGCAAAAAGTCTATGGTTCATTTTATAAACTTAAAAGTTAGACTAAATATGGA